GCCTCGCCCCGAGCCCTGGGCAGTGCCGGCGTTTTCCCCGGCCCTCGGAGAACACATCTGTGCGTATTTGTGTGTCCTCCCCTCTGTCCGGGTGTGCGCGTATGTCTGCGGGTACGTTCATATGTACGTGTGCATATGTACACATGCAGCCCGCGTGTGTGTTCGGGGGGTGTGTGAGTCTCGGCTGAGGATGAGGGAGTTACGCAGCTCTGCTTGATGGTGGTTAATGGTTTACCCGGCGAAGTTCGCGCCGCGTGAATGTTGCAGGGCGCTTTGAGTCAACTCCCTCGGATCCGGACTTCCTATTTGCCACCTTCCCAAACGGCCTCTAAAAAATGCTGTCATCTGTCTCTGGTGAGTAGGCTTTTTTGGCAGTCTGCTCCCCTGGGAGATGTCAGGGGCCGCGCCGGAGGCCGGATGGCTGCGGCCAAGGTCACCCTGGTCCCCTGAACCCGGGGCAAGTGGGGACACCCCGCTGCTCCCCGGAGGTCTCGGCAGCGAAGGCGTCTGCCAGCCGTCGGGGTGCTGGGGTCGCCCGGAGCACGGGGCTCGGCGCGCAATAGCTGCCAGAGTGCCGAGAATCGGAAGAAATAGGGAATAAAACAAAGCAAGTGTGTTTACGAGTAAGTTTCCATGCAGATAAGTTTCTGCTCGGTTTGGGAAAAGGTCGTGTAATGCACCATCTGGAATGAAGGGTTTGCTGAAACAAACAGCTGGGTGTTCGGTAGGTCTGTGTCTCCTGCTCGCAGCTGGGTAATTTATACCTTCATGGCACGATCCTGAGTTTTTTCACAGGAATAGTTACAGACAGGCACTGGAACTGGGCGTTATCCTGTAATCACATTCTCAAGTGAAAATCTGGTAGAGAGATCAAATTTTCTCTGTGTGGGAATCAGTTACTCCCTCCCCAGAATATTCTGCAGTTTTCACAACAGGAATCATTTGTTGTGGTTATGGGTTTGAAAGCTCTCCTTGTCTGAGATGTAACTGCAGCAAAGACCAGGGGGCTATTTCGGTAGCCCACTGGCAGGATAACGCAGCCCTGCGTGGGGTCCCACCAGCATCATCGGGTGCTTCCCATGGTGGTCGGGGAGTAGAACCAGGGAGAAGCCTGTGTGAGGCCCTGCCTGCTCCAGGGCAGAATATCCACCGCGCTCCCGGAGCCTCGACTCTTCTCAGGTGCTTGGATCAGGAGCCCTTCAATTCAGGCAGAAGGATCTTACAACTGCGTATGTTTGATTTGGTGTGGTGAGGCTCAGGGGAAAAAGGCAGATAATCTCCCCACATCTTCCCTTAGGTGGGAAGATGCTGGCCAGGCAGCAGGGTACGCGTCGCCTCTTCCTGACACCTGTTTTCTCCTTGGTTTCTTGCCTTGAATTTAGGGTTTCTCTGTGTGGAAGTGGAAGCGTAGGAAACTGGGAGGAAAAAAAAACGTGTGCCGCTGTGGAGTGGCTGTCGCAACGCTGGCAGCAGCTCTGCTGAGGAGTCAGCTCTGCTGGCAAAAAAAGTGCTTTTTGTTGGCACAGCTTAGTCCGTTCAGGGAATTGCAACGGTGAGAAGAGTTCTGCCAGCTGCAGGAGTGGGCTTTGCTCTTGGGGCTGGATGCTTGCACCGGCAGGAACTTGTGTAAGTGTAGACGAAGCTTTTGAGCTCTCCAAGGGGGCTGTGGCTGTGTAGGTGCAGGCGACACTTTGCTTGCTGTGTGTCGCAGCTGGCACCGTGGTGCCTGGTTCTGCCACCCCAGCTCATGGGCATGGCAATAACATGGGCCGGTTGTTGGGGGCCCATGATGGAGATTACTTTGTAGCCTAAGCAACATTAAACTTGGATTAGGACTCTGCCAAAAAAAAACCCAACAAAAAGGGCAAAAATAGAGCATGTGATCTATGATTAGAAATGGTTGCAATTAAAAATACTTACGCAACATGATTTTATTTTTTCCAAGCAAGATAATATTCTTTTGAGTGTTGATTACTTTGATGTGAGACAAGAATGCTGGTAGACCAAGAAAGCAATGTGAATTAAAATTCTATATTGTTGGAGGTTTCTTTCTTGTTTTTAGTGATGTGAGACTGTAAGAAATGAGGTTGCGCTGTTGGTGTATGCAAGATGTGGTGATACTGATGGGAGGATCTCACACTTTTCCAGAGAACTGCTGGTCTTTCCTTCAAGCATGGCTTTTAGGTCAGACAGTAACAAATGCAGTATGTTTTCCAGTGAATAGAAGAAAAACAGACTTTTTTTTTTCCCCTTTAAATCTGTTTTTCCACATGTTCCTAGGATGTTGCCTGTAACATCTGTATTTGGGATCAGTTTAATTGCTCGTTGCCTGTATTAGAAAATAGTTTGGGTCCAATTTCAGCATCTTCATGGAGCTTAACTCAAACTGAAGTTAAATTTCTTTTGGCAAGAGGTGATTTATCTTAGCTCATGTTGATTGTATTACTTTGTTGTGTGGGATCCTACCCATGGATTGTGGAAGGATTTGCTCTTGCAAAATTGTTGGATTTTAGCCTTAATGAGCTGAAAATGTTTTAAGTCAATGCCTGAAATTTCTATTGTTCCAATAATTCTCTACTATCCTGAAAGTATAACAAATGCAAACAATTATCTTCACTTCCTCAGCCCTTTGCTGTATAAAAACTTATGTTTTGCTAACCTGCTAATTAACCCATTGATTTCTGCGTTTCTTGACTTTGCCAGATGAGTATCTTCTGCCTATTGTCATGTTCTAATATCAAGGTAATTGTGAATCCTTAGACAACAGGGGCACATACTCGAAGGAGCTCCTTACCTTACCTCCCTGAGTCTTTCAGTGGGTAGGAGAGAACATTCTTCAGCTGAGCCTCCTGGAAATGTGACCTTTCTGGAAATTCAGTGTTATGTTTCTTAATGACTGGGAGACCCATAGGATCGACTGCGGGATGAATTATGCATTCTCCTGCACTGATTGCACTGGAATTAGAAGGCAGGAGCTGGGGGGGGAAGCTGGATCCATCTTGTAATCTAAGAAATATTGTAGTTCTTCTGGATTGCACTGCATGAAATATGCCTTTATTATTATTAAGAAATTCTGCTTATGATTTGCACAGTAGGTATGTAGACCTGTGAATAACAGGATGGAAGAGATGGCAGTGGTACTTTGACTATTTCAGTGTTTCTTGTCCTGTAGGTGTGTATTTTTTTAAAGTCAAAGAAAGCAGCAAGTAGTTTAAGGAATTCTCCCTGGTGATCTGTGTCAGTTGAGAAACTGTGGAAGCCTGTGCCGACCACTTTCTGTGCGAAAGATGCCAGCTACGGCCTGGTCAGCTTTTCTCTACTCTTGCTCGCCACATGCTTTCCAATGATCAAACTGCCTGTATCAAGTGATATAATCTACTTGAAATTTGGCTGGGGGGAAAAAAAAAAACCAGCAGTGAAACGTAGATGTAGCTATAGTTACATACAGTTCATGCACCAGCCTTTAAGACCTTCTGCCAGTTTTTTTGGTGACTTCTACAAATATGTTTTAGTCTTATTTTCTTTTTCTGCCCTCTTTTCAAGGAAGATCAGGCTGCCTAAATAGGAAAGGGTGCAGCTGGATAAATACATGTTTAACAATTGGGGAAAGGATGCTTACTAGCATCCTATTTCAGTTGTTGTAATCTTAATGTATTCAGAAGGGTGTTCTGAGCTGATGGTGTCACTTTAAATACCGACTTGGGTTGGAAAACACTTGATTTGGAGATTTCTGGGATGGAAGGCATGTCTTGCACCTACAGAGATGCTTGCTGAAAATGAAGCGTACTGAGATCCTGCTACGCTTGCCAAGAGCAATGGCTAAACTTGGGCAGCTGGTTTAGCAATTAAATTATGTTTTTGTTTTTGACAATGGGTTTATCGTAATGAATTAACCGGTGGACTAGTCAGAGTGGCAGAGGGGTTTGGTTTTGATTCCCCAACCATGCAGCGTGCCAGCATTGGGAATGTACTTCCCACCAGTGGAAATGCAAGAAGCATTTCATGCCAAGTGCCCCAGGGAGAGGAAGGATGCACGTGTGTCTTCTGGTGTGCAAGCCCCGAGTTCTTGTAATTTCTTGAAAATACAAGCGTTTGATGGATGGTACAGCTTGGGCATGGGATAAGGAAACAGATCTTGCTGATGCTTGAAAGTTGGCACGTGGCTCATGCAAAGTCATTTTAGAATAGGTGGGGGTGGCGGCAGTGGGAGGAGGGAGGAAGAGAAATGTCTTTGGGGGGCCGGGAGCCAGGGCGTGGGTGTGCTTCTCATTCACCTCTGCTCCACGCAGGCTAGCGTGTCTGTGCAGAAGGGATGCTTTTCCTCGCTCGGAGGTAGCAGGTTTTTTTTTCAGGTTTCTTTATTTCTCTGTAAAGGGCATTGTGCGCAGGATGCTCTGTCCTTGGCAGCTTGCCCGTGGTGTGAGGGGAGAGAGCTCACTGCTTTTGGTCGTGCTGCAGATAGCCGCTGTCAAAGCCAGTTAGCATTTGTGGGGCGTCCTTTCCTTTTTCTCTTTAGTGAAGCTTTTTTTTTTTTTTTTTTAGCAGGTAACCAAAGACATCGCTTTGCCTTTCTTAAAACTTATCTGGGGAGAATCAGACTTTCCTTTGGAGGACAATTTGGGGCTGGTTGATGAAAGCTGTTTGTGCACGAGGGGAGTGGGAGTCACAAGGGAGGATGTGGATGCATAAGAACCACTTTAATGTGGATACATTAGCACTAACTTTAATTATTAAATGTGTGTTCAAAAGAAAACAAGCATACTTTGTGGTGCTTTGGAAAGGGCCTATAAGCTACATATTAAATATGTTAGAAGATGCTTGAAAACCCTGTATCCCCTTCACCAGAACTGAAGCAGCTTGAAACTTGGGCTTGGAGCACAGGCCTGGCAGGAGCTGCCTGGCTGGTTGGTATTACAGGCAGCTGCCTTTTGTCATCCTTCTCACAGACTGGTCAAAGCACTGCCTGTGAACAAGCCAGGGCTTCTGCTGTTTCTCCCAGTTTCCAATTTGAGTTTCTTCTTCAGTGGTCAGTACCCCTGTGTCTTGTGCCACCTCTCCGTCTCATCTCCCCAGTGTCTGTCCTCCTAAAGATCTTGTACCGACAGAGCTGGAGTTGCTGTACGGAGGAGAGGGGAGAAGAAAGTGAACTCAGCATAAAAGGCCCTCTCTGATTAGACACTACTTTGATTTTTGCTAGACTGAGTTTTATTGCTCTTGAGTTCATGTATGTCAGCTTTCCTTCAGAGGGATTCTGGGGGGCTTTCCAGAAAACAGGTGCTCCTGTGTATGAGAGTTAGTAAAGGAGGCACTTAGGCAAAATAATACTGAGGTTGGAAATAACAGGTATTTGACAG